TCTCTCTCTCTCTCTCTCTCTCTCTCTCTCTCTCTCTCTCTCTCTCTCTCTCTCCCCGCCCCCCCCTCTTTCTCTCTCCACACGACCCAAAGATGGAAAGTGCAAAAGGGCCATCTTTGTTTTTCAATTCCTTTTTTTTTTTTGTAAAAGATTGTCGACAATTATTTTTTTATATTTTTTTTTTCCGATGTGTACCTACCGGTAGCTCGAGGCTCGGCATGGTTCAGGATAGTACCGGTAGGCGGAGCCACGAGCCTTCACAACCGCTAGGTACTGGTGGTTTAAGGAGAGAAGGACGGGAAGGAAGATCTCCTTACGTTTTCGGGTAATACATGTAAAATACTGACAGTGAGATGAGGAGTACTGCATTGCAGGATTTGGGTCATTCAACTGCCCCTCAAACTCGTTTCTATCCTTGCTATTGTCTTAACCCTAAAAAAACGTACGTACGTTGTATACGAATATAACGTACGGGGTACGTTGTACAATGAGTTTTAGGGTATAACTTTGTAGGAGCTTGTAGTACCAGATAGTTTTTATTTTTTTTCTCGAATTTGGTTGGTAATTTCGCCAAGACCCTCCGACAAAAGTTGTTTGTATTGTATTTTCGTACAACATAATTTTTTTATAGATGTTTTTTATTACTTTTGAGAATTCAAACATCAGAAAACACTACCAAATGTTGTCAAAAGATATTTTTTGTTCTTGTTTTTATTTTTTTCTCAAATTCGTTTGTGAATTTTGACATGACCCTCAGGCAAAAGTTGCTTGTATTGCAATGTTGTACAACTTTTTTTTTTTTTTTCCTGATTAAAAATAAAAATTAAAATTAGCACAAATTCAAGTCCAGATGCAATGCAACCTTCATTTCTGTTGATTTTGAAAAAGCGTACGATCATGTGAACTGGATTTTTCTTGACAAATGCCTCGAAAAAAATTTTTGGCCCCTGCTTCCGAAGGTGGGTGGGGATCTTGCACCAAAACGCGACAACTCGGGTCCAGATAAATGGCAGTCTGGTGCCGGAAATTAAACAGCAAAGGTCGGTTCGACAAGGGGACCCCATAGCCCCATTCCTCTTCATTATCATTATGGAGGCCCTGTCAGCCAACCTCAGGCACAATAAAAGCCTGCAGAGGATCCAAATCGTTGGCATACCAGAAGAGGTCATTCCAGTATGCTTTCTGTTTGCAGATGATCTGACAATCATGGTCGAGGCCTCACCCTCGAATATGGAAGAGATCCAGCGGCTGATGGATCGCTTCTGTACCCTATCTGATATCAACAGAAAAATTTCCCAGAATTAAATATTCATTCTATAGTAAAATTACGTTCTAAATTTTAAATTTTCATTCCATTTTAAAAAATGTCATTCCAATTTTAAAATTTTCCGTCTTACTTGAGAACTTTCCTTCCAAGAATGGGGTATCCTTTCTTATTTGAACTGCATACTAGAGATGGAATGAAAGTCTGGATAAGTTCATGAAATATTTTAATTGGATTGTCATTCTAAGTAAGGATTTTCAGTCATAAATAGGTTAATCCAATCTAAATTAGAAGATATTTGTTGTAGTAGAATGAAAGTTTAATTAAAACATTTCATTAACTCGTCCAGACTTTCATTCCATCTTGAACAAATAGATGTAGTTGGAAGGGAAAACTCATATTTAGACGGGAACTTATCAAATAAAACTGAAAATTTTAGAATTTGACAAACATTGGAAGGATAATTTATAAATATGAAGGATTTTTTTTTTATGGAATGTTTTTTCAACTTTTATTTCTCGCGAGAATTTTTCTGTTGATGGCAGTAAATTGGGGACAAAAAACGCTTGGTTGGTGGCTTCACCAACAAGGAGGCTGCTCATCGGAAGTTCCCCGGATTACGTGGATGGACCTAGACGAACCTGTTCGGGTCCTGGGAGTCAAAATGACTGCAAAAGGCTGCCCAACCGAGAATGATAAGTGGCTCGCATCTCCTGCACTCCAAAAGCTCCTCTGGTGGAACCACAAACACACATCATTTTTCGGGAGTGCTTTAGTGATTAACAATGTAGTATTGGCCACCTTGTGGTACAAATCGGTCTTGTGGCCCCTAAGTGGGCCGGCCCAAAAATCCCTAAAGAGAAAGGTGGCTGCCTACATATGGAGGGGTGACAGCGAAAACACAAAGACCATCAGTTGGGTGGCCTGGGACTTGGTGGTACAACCTAAAGTCCATGGGGGTCTAGGTATCCTAGATCCGGTGACTTAAGTGCAAGCACTATGCCTGCAATGGATCCTGCGTTTGATCCTAGTTTTTCCACTTCTTTGTAAACCATTGACCCTTGAACAAATTGTTCGACTTGCACCGGAGGCCCCACCATCGGTAGACCCTCTATGCTGGTTGGACGACCGCTATTGGAAAGTACCAGGAAAAGCACGGGGTGCAGAAACAATGGAAGGAACAAGGGATGATTTTTGGGCTCGAATAATAAAGGCATGGAGAGCACTGCCCCTCCCGCAATGCCCGGCCCCCGAAAGATGGGAAGAAGTAATAAGGCAACCCTTTTTTGGAAACTGTTGGATTACTAACTCTCGAAGTCAAATTTTTTGCAGTTCGGATCCCCCATGGAAGGGCTGGGTAAAAAGGGGGGTAATGAGGGTAGGAGACCTCGGGGATGGGAAACGCAAAGAGTAGAAAGACCTCGATCAAATGAAAGAGAAACTGAGATACTGTCGTAACATTGAGGAATCGCTGGGGGAGATTGTAGAAGCATTCCCCCTAACCTGGCGATCCATCCTACGGAGAGGTCCGAAAATACAGGAAGGGGATTGGGTAACGAAGGAAGGGGACTCTCAACAGGTGGGGCAAGTTAACCTTGAGCGGCTGGACGACGTGCTTGTGGATTGGTATAGGACCGGGGGAAAGGGAGAACTAATAGGAAGTAGGACGCCTCTCGAATGGATTGATAAGGTGACCCTCCACCGGATCAGGAGCCTGGGGGAAGGGGATGAACGCAGAGCATACAGGCCGAAGGTCCCAATAGCTAAGTTCCCCTTGGACCCCATGGAATGGCAACGGAACCGTTCACAAAAGGCGAGACCAACAAACAATAGACGAAAAACAGTTAATAACCTGTCAGTAAAGGTCACTTATAAGATGCTATGAGTTAAAAGGAACTTGCGGGACGTAGTAATCGATAGGTGGCAGCAACACCTGAATGTGGACAGACAACTGCTATCCCCCATACAATGGTTTTAGGACAACAAGAGCAATCCGACCAAAATCATGTCTCTTCAGTGGCAGATTGCTCACCGCTGTCTTCCGACAAACAATTGGCTAATCGATCACACTCAGTTGGAACAACACGGACGGCCTCATCCATGGTGTTCACACTGCTTCCAAAGCTTCCTGCCGCAAAAGAGAATAGAAACAATAGAGCATGTCTTTTTGCAATGTCCGACGACAGTCCTAGCATGGAGATGGTGGGAGAGGGTGTGGAGGCAGATGGTTCCGGACCAATCATGGCCATGGAACTGGAGAGCGATCCTCCTGGGTCATCATCCAACTCTGCAAGACACGAGCTACGCAAAGAACATGTTCGCTCTGGCAAGGAGGACGGTGCTATGGGTTCTATGGTGGCAGCGTTGTGCAATGACAATGGAAAGAGTTAGAGTAGACGGGGAGGAAAGGAAGGAACAATTTAAGAATTGCTTCCAGCTGGAGATTATGCAGAGATGGCGGGAAACGAAACAGGTGTTGGACTCATATCACGGATCCAAAGACATATCAGAAAGGATCTCCAGATTCGCCAACGAATGGCTGGGTGGACCAAGGGGGGGATGGGTGGCTAGGGTATAGTGGTCGGGCGACATCGAGCGAGATGGACAGACACGAGAAGAGGACCAGCAGGCATCAGTTCCACGAGATTACCGCCTCATCTTCAAGGATTGGACATCAATTGACCCCAGAATTCCTATGCGGGGCCCTGAGTATTTCCCAGATCCTTTTCCCCTCCAACCCTTGGCATTGGAAGTCAGGCTCTAGAGGTTCGGAACAGCGGACAAGAAGAGGGTAGGAATCGAGGGGAAAAGAGGAGGTACGTCACAGTACGACAAATCTAAAACTAAGGAGCTGTGCTAGCGCTAGCGCCCTGAAGTCGGCCGACCGGGGGGGCCGGGTCGCCCCGGCTCGACCAGCGCCGGCGGAGAATAGCTCCCCGGTTGATGGGCCTGCCTACGTGCCCGACATGTGCAAGTGGTTAACCGTCGCTTCGTGCCTGTTGATTGGTGACGTGGACGTCCCACGACACGTGGACAGGGGCAGCGCCAGCCGTGGGATTGTCAAGTGAATCGTGTGAATGACGCAGCAAATTCGGCGTGAGATGGATTCGGTGGAGGAACTACAACAGCGTGCGGAAGAATGGCTCGACACACTGGGAGAGGGCTGCAAGCAGCTGCGGACGATAGTGGGGACGCTGATGCAGCAGAGGCAGGAGGGGGTGGAGATCGATGGGGGGGCGGTCTCTATGGAGCAGTGGTTAGATGACAGGATCCATGAGATGTTGGATGTCATGTGGGAGCTGGAGGAGGGGCCGGATCCCCGGCTCGAACCCTACATCGACTGGAGGCAGGCGGCTGATGGGTTGGATGTGTGTAAAGCCCTCTTTATAAAGGGCCGCAATCTTCGCAATCAGTTGGAGTGCGAGTTGGGTGATAAGGGCGAGGGCGGAGTGGATGCCAACGGAGATAAATGCGGCGACGACGACACTCGCGATAGCAACAGAAACAACAACAACAACAACAACAACAACAACGACGACGACGACGACGACAACAACAACATCAACAACAACAGGGGCGATGCTGGGGGTGGCAACAACAACAACAACAACAACAACAACAACAACAATTACAGCAACAATAATGATGATGGTGGTAGTGACAACGATGGTGGCGACAACGATCACGGCAGCAGCAACAACAACAACAATAACATTGAATTTCACGACAGCGGCAGCAGCAGGGTTGAGAGTGGGGTTGGGGATGACATCAACAACAACAGCGATGATGCCAATAGTGTTGACGACGGAGGCAGCAATGACCACGGCAGCAGCGGGGCTGAAAGCCTTAGCACGACGGGTGTGATGCCATATGCTGAAGTGGAGGGGATTGGGATTGATGTGGATAAGAGGTTTGCCATCTCCCCCTCCCTTCCCCCTTTTAACCTCGTCGTCTGGTTGAGGATAAGAGTGGGATGATCGTTGTTGATTGTGTTGCCAATTGATGTTGATTGGTGTTGTCCGGCCCGCAATACCAATCAACAATGGAGTGCTGAGGGGGGCTGGTTAGGATATACATTGCGGGTGGTCAATCTGTGACGCAAGTCACGCAACCACACGCCCTGCCCTGTCTTTCGTTCAGAGTGCCAAAGGTGTGGAAGGGAGGCCCCGAAAAACAGCAAGATGGGGTGTGCCAAGGATTTTTGGAAGATTGAGTGTGGGGACACAAACAAAATTGAAATCCTCCGTGTTGGTCCGATGAAGTGAGAGATCTCGCAGGTTACGGCGAGCGCAGGGTTCGTCACGCGGGGAAGTTTAAATTCGATCCAGAAAGTACTCTCGGACTTCCTACTGGGCCACGGCTTGACCTTTGGAATGGAAGGGAGCGGGCACATGTTTCGTATCCCGTTTTCGCACTAGCTCCCGACGTCGCACATTGCACAATTCTGAATCCGACGTGGACGGTCTTAATCGCGTGGCCCTTTCCTTGTGCTCATCCTCATTCCGTGTTCGGTAGTGGAACCCCTTCGATTGGTAGTGGTCGAGGCGTTGGCAATCACTACACAAGGTGTTAGGCCAATGGGGCGCCACTGCCGACCACGGGATGACGATCAACTCGTTAAACGGTAATAGTATTGCCGAGCGCCGACAAACCCAGAACACCGATTTTCGGGAGGGAACTAGTATTGCCCACCGATCTTGGCGACGGCTTCTCGTATGTCCCACGCACAAATTCACGTCATGTCCTCGTTATACGGGAAGGGGCGGAGAGGGGCTACGGGAGGCTGGTGCCTAGTCGGGTTGAGCCCGTTACTCCATATGGCAAACAATCAGAAATATTTTAGCCATTCACCGCGTGCATGCAATCCTATCAATCCAATCGGAACGGTCACATAGAAGAAACGGAGGGTTCGGAGAAAGAGAAAGAAAAGCTCATGAGTGGCGAGACAAGGTCGCCATTTCGTGCTCAGACCGTGCGTGGCGAAATCGCATGTGTACTCGCAACATTTCTTCGACAATCACAAATCAAAGCATTTCTGCATTTCCAAATCCCAACAACATTGCTCCTGCCATCAACTCGTCCTAATCAAGATAGGTTTTGTACCCGTTCATTCCCATCTTTCATGTATGCATTCACTGGGGAAGGTGCGAAAATGACAGTCATGCAATTTCCCAACAAGGTGGCATTAAGGGAAGAATCCTTAATGGTTGATACACGCGCATCCACCGTTCACAAGACAAAACCCACTAGATCGGGGGACTACCCACGAAACTAATGGAAGAGTTCCGGAAGAAATAATTCCAACACAGTCATCATACTCATTCCATCACGCGCCAACTTTTGACTTATTACGTCGAACCGTCCACATCAAGGACGAAGGAGAAGGAGAAATGCGACAGAGACAAACGGGGATATCAAGATCAGAGAGAAGAGTTACACTGAGATTGAGAGAGGAAAAGAAGGTTCGGCTTTACCGCCGTAGAGTCCCACCAAAGAATAGATTCGTAACCAAGAGGTCACACTTCACCATCAAATTCCAACATGGCCCTGGGCCAGTCATCCACTCAACTCAGATCACCTGTCCCCATTATGACACCGACGATCCCGTCCGTCGCGCGTCATCCTCCACCACTGCGATCGTCACCCCGCCAACTTAGTCTCGACGTGGCTTGCCTGGATCCCACAGTCCGTCGTGGCGATCTGGCGCACCGCCAGCCAGTCTACAGTCGGCTCGTCAGGACTTTCCGACTCGCACCGTACACATCACCTAGCCACTACTTCCCGGAAGCTGGCCGATGAGTTGAGAGAGCGTTTTGCGGGGGCGGCGACGGAATTTATAGCTGCAAGACGAGAGAGAAACGCGGGGAAAAGAGAAGTGTGAGGCAGAGGAGGGTATAGGAGAGTTTGGGAGTGACCGCCCATCGAAAGCCATGTTGATCCCTCCTAACTCGACCTCAGCCAATCAAAATCATTGTGCAGTAAGAACTTACACGACGCTTCTCCTTGGCTAGATGGGGAGAGAGGATTAACTGGGTTTTCAAGCGCGGATCTTAGAGCGGGAAGAAGAGGAGCGCGAAGGATAGCACGAAACGGGTCCAAGATTCAGATGATCAAGAAGGAGAAAGAAAAAAGATATGCACTGAGAAGGGGAGGGAAAAGCAGTTACAGGGGGGGGGGGTAAAAAAAACGTGAGCGCGCGAAGAAGGACGGTGAGAGGTGCGCAAGGGAGGAAGGAGGAGGGAGCTTGCTTGCATGGCGCTGTTCAGCAAAAGGGGGAATGGGCACCAAGATAGTTGCAGTCTTTTCCAATCCTATGCTAATTCAAAAATTGAAAGTACCATATCCGCGCGCAAAACAGGCGCGGGAAAGAAAGTCGTCCGTCCATCCATATTCCTACAAGATTTCCCGAAGTTTTCCAGGTCGAGGCCGAGAACATTCGCGCGCGGAAGGTCG